AAAAAAAATTTAGGTTTGTAGCTAATAATCTTATTTTTGCGATTCGTAGTTTGTAGCCTTCCGAATAATCGAGATTTTCCATGATTTTGCAGAGCCGTGGTTCGACAACGACGCGATGCCGGCATCGAGGGCGGGAAAAGCGGCAGAAGCGGCCGATGAAATTGGCAGATTGACGGGCACTTACGGTATTTTTTGGATTATTGATTGGTTGAATTTGTTTGAATTCCAGAGCTCGACCCAAAAGCGACAACCGCGAAGCGGGCAACTGCTAAGAAAGGTTCGTTTCTTTTGCAGGCGCATCCTCAAAAATCTCCGCCAGTCAGTCCGCTAAATTCCGAAAAAATCGAGGTTTGCCATACTAATCTTTGCTAGTTTGCTTCGAAATTCCCCAATCGTCTCGGCTAGTTAGCCCCGATTTTCGCCAAGAATCTCTGCCAGTTTGCCTCGAAATTTTCAGGAAATTAGTGCAAGTTGACCCTGATTTTCCGCAAAGATCTCTGCTAGACCCCCGAAATTCCCCAAAATCCTCTGCTAGCTTGCTAATTTGTTGTGAATTTCAGATGAAGCTGCGGCTCCAAAAAAACGAGGACGAGGTGTGAAAATGGAGAATGATGTGGATGATGAGGACGAATTCAAGGAGAAACAGGAACAATTGCCGAGTCGATCTGTTTTGATGAAGATGACTGTCGCCAATTTGAAGGAAAAAGCCGCGCAGATGAACGTCGATATAAAGTGCGTTTTTTTTCTGAAATTAGGGCAGGCCAGCAGACGCAATTTGGGGAAATTCGAGGCAGGCTTGCCGAGAAGTCTGGGGAAATTGGAGGCTGGCTGGCTGAGGAAATCGAGGACCCTGGGGCAGGCTAGCAGAGACCATTTAGGGAATGGCAGGCTAGCAGAAACAATTGTAGAATCGGGCGAGGGGCAGGCGAGCCGAGATTTTTAGGGAATCGGGATCCGCTAGTTGAGATGACTGGAGAATTTCAGGGACAATTTGCGAAAATTCGAGGCAGGCCAGCAGAGAACTTTGTGGAATTTGGGGCAGGCTAGCAGAAGCAATTTTGGAAAATTCAGGGCAATCTAGCGGAGGAAATGTGTGGAAATTGGGTGCAGGCTAGCAGAGGCGATTTGTAGAATCGGGCTAGGGGCAGGCGAGCAGAGATTTTTAGGGAATCGGGATCGGCTAGCAGAGACGATTGCGGAAAATTGAGGGCAGGCTAGCAGAGAACTTTGGGGAATTTGAGGGCAATCTAGCAGAGGAAATGTGCGGAAATTCGAGGCAAGCTAGCAGGGATTTTTGGCAGAATCTGTGCCAATTATTTTATCGTTTTTTTTTTCAGAAAAGCGAAAAAGAAGGACGAAATCATTGACGCGATCCTCGACCACCCTACTTCCAAATAATCCATCCAATTTTGTCGCTCTATTTTGCACCGATTTTGCCCACTTTTTCAATGCAAAATTTACAATTTTAATTACAAAATTGTCATTTTTGCATGTACTTTTCTCACTTTTCCGCCGTCAATCCACATTTTGAATTTGTCGTATTTTTTCGCTTGTGAATTTTTGTGTGATCTCCCGGTGATGAATAAAGTGATTGAGGAGCGATTGATATCAGCGTTTTTTAGTGAAAATTCGACACCATTCAAATTTTATTACAGTGTTTTGTGCGCATTACGATTGAGAAATTTTTTGCACTATTCTTGACCGTAAAACCGTTACAAATTTTTATTAACAAACTGCAAAAAAACGGATTTTCGATCAAAATGGCCGTTTTTGGCCGAAATTTCGGCTTTTTTTGAAGAATCTTTCAAGTTTTAGATTTTTAGTGAAATGCGACACCATTAAATTTTTACGCCATGCTACGGAAGCTTAATCAATATGGGTTCTTTTTGCATTATCAGGGGGGTTCCCTACAAGTTTTCTATTGTTTTCTTCTCTTTCTTTTATTAGAAACCCATTTTTTAGATATAAATGGCGGAAATGTTGCTAAACCGTTTTTTTTACTGATCCTAACGTAAAACCGTTACAAATTTTTACTAAGAAACAAAAAAAAATAGATTTTTCGATCAAAATGGCCGTTTTTGGCCGAAATCTCGGCTTTTTTGAAAAATCTTTTAAAGCTTTAGTTAGTTTTCGATTAAAAATATAGTTTTATTTTACTAACTAGAGAGGTATCTGAACTCGGCATCGAACTTTAAGAAGTCAGATACACCATTCGACGCGGCTTTTCGAGGGGATTCCAAATATATAATAAAATCAACCAGAGTCTATAACGATAAAAAGTTATGAGCATTTTAAGTTTTGCAGCGAAGAATGCCGCGGGGATATGAGCCCCTCCCAGCGCACCCTGTTCATCGGCCCCGTGGCCTAGTGGTGTGCCCATGGGTCTCCGGTCTGTACGACCAGGGTTAGGATCCACTCACGATTTTTATTTTTTGCTTTTTGACTAGTTCCTACTTTTTGCATTTCCAAACTCGGGATGAGTTTTTTTGACTATGTGACCCCTAAAAGGCACCGGCGATGGTAAAATAACCTCGGGTAACAAGACCAGGAATGGACGCTCTCTATATCAAAGTTGACAAAATCATCAAAAACCGCCCCTTTAAGACTCTGTACGAATTCGAAGAATGTAATTTTTCGAAAATAGAACAGTACATCTTATTCAGCAGAAAATTATCTTTCGAATGGGCTATCTTACATAGACTTTACGCGAAATTCTCGAAACGTCTTCGCCGCATTCCAAAAATATTTTTTTACGGAAATTTTTGGCAGCCGTATGTAACATAGCTCATTTGAAAGAGCTTTCTTTGTTGAATAAGGAGCACTAATCAGTTTAGGCTAAATTCCATTCCGCGGGATGATACAGGGTCTCAAAGATACTGTTTTTCACCATTTTGTCGACTTCGAATGCTCATAACTTTTTACGGTTATAGGCTCTGGTTGATTTTATTACATATTTGGAATCGCCTCGACAAGGCGCGTCGAATGGTGTATCTGACTTCTCAAAGTTCGATGCCGAGTTCAGATACCTCCCTAGTAAGAACATGATGAAAATATCTCTTATTAAGTTACCAGGCATTTATAAATTAATACACAAAAGGGGGTCCTGTTTTAATTTTGCTCAGAAATCGGCCATTTTTCGTCGAAAAATCGATGTTTTTGACAATTAAATTAATAAAATTTGCTAAATATTTTACACTCAGGAATAGGAAAACCATTAGAAACGCCTCCACTATTTATATTTGAAAAATTAGCTCCTAAGGAAAAAGTTGCCCCCCGATAATGCAAAAGAACCTAAGTGACGCTCGGCAATTCGTCAATTTATCGCGAATCGATTACGCTAGGCAATTCAACTGTTTGGCAATTTTGGCGCTGATTTTCATTGATTACGCCACGTATTTCGCGAGCTTTAATTGCGTGCTTTTTTTGTGAATTTTCATCGATTACGCCATGTAATTTTTCGAGTTAATATTCGCGCATTTTGTTCAATTTTAAATGGCTACAAATTTATTCAAAGCATCGCAAAAATTGGTAGGAGAAAAACACACGCATCAAATTGGTGGGAGGAAAACGGAGGCATTGAAAAAAAACTGAAAAAGCGGCATTTTTTGAGATAATAATTAGCGAGATAAGTGGCGAAAATATGAAAAATAAAAAAATTAAAAATTAAAACATTAATAAAATGAAAAGTAGCATTCCCGTATTCCTACGGAACTCGGGGCGTTTTTTAAAGGGGTGCGGGCATGGTCGCGCTCGCCGTGGCGGGAACTACGACGCGCAACTCTTTGCACCACACGCACACACACATAATTACGGTAGCTGGGGCGATTTTTGGCGGGGAAGTGGCGCATTTTTTGGGTATTTCGGTAAATTGACAGCAAAGGTATCTGAAGGTACCCTAAGTTTCGAAAAATTCCGAAATCTAAAGAAATCAGGGTTTTTCAAAAATTCATAAAATTCAAAATTTCGAAAAAACTTAAAATTGCAGGTTTTTGCTTGAAAATTGCGCATTTTTGCGGTATTTTGTTAAACTGACAGTAAAGGTATCTGATGATACGCTCGATTTCAAAAAAAAATTCAAATTTTCGAGGATTGAGCCGGCGCTTCCGGTCGAAATTGCTCGAAAACACGATTTTTAGCGAATTTTCGCGGTAAAGTTCCTAATTTTTTTGCGTTTCCGTTAAACTGGCTGTCAGTCTATCCATCCGTACGATAATTTCAGAAAAATTCGGATTTTTTTTGAAAGATAGGGCCCCCACTTCCGGCCAAAAATTGCCCCACTAACAAAAACTCAGGCTTCACGGCAAAACAGTCGTCGATTCGATGCGGGGGTCGCTGATGGAGTTTTGAATGATTCTGGAGGGCAGGCAATTGAAAAATTGGAAAATTCAATATACGGTAATGTACGCATTCACGAAAACAGGGCAGTACGAGGGGCTACTTGTTACGGGGTCGTCGAAATGTTAGGGAGGGCAGGGTGGCAGCCAGGGGGTAACGCAAATCATAACGAGAGGCTTCGAAGCAAGGGGAGGAATTTGGGCGGAATCGGTGGCTTTTAAAGGGCTATTGAAGTCAGCGAATCGATTACACGAGGTAATTCGGTTTTGGCAAATCGATTAAGCGATGAAATTAGGTGGTAAAAATCGATTAGGGCATTTAATTGCAAGCCAGCTTAATCGATTACGCAATGAAATTGAAGCTATGCCAATAGATTATGCCATGAAATAGCGCTAAGTTTAATCGATTACGGTATGTAATTCGGTTTGTTCCTAATCGATTACGCAGTGAAATTGAGCTCAAATTAATCGATTACGGTATGTAATTCGGTTTTCAGAATAGGTTACGCTATTTAATTCCCGATCTTCAAGGCCCAGAAAATAACCGATTACGCCATCATATTCAGGGAGAGGAAGGGATTTCAATTGGGGGTATTTGGGGGTCCTCGATTGGGGAACCCGCTCCTTTTTGCATCTCTTGCTCCTCGCTTTCTCTTGCTCATCTCACTGCTTTGCCTCCTGGACGACCTCTATCTTCTCGACGGTCATCTCCGGGTTTGACTGTGTCGCCTCCATGATGGCACGAGACAGCTCCTGAAAATTCCGCAAATTATTGCTGCTCGATGGCCCAAAAATTCCTCAAAGATCTCTGCTAGCTAGCTTTCTAATTTCGTTAATAATCGCTGCTAGTTCCCCTGATTTTCCCCCAATAATCTCTGCTATTCGATTCCCGGATTTTCCACAAGAATCTCTGCCATGCACCCACCGCGTCATGGTCGATGGCATCATCGGAATGGATGGTCACTCGATGCTCCACGTGCGTCTCTACCTGAAATTCTTGATTTTCTCCCTTCTCTCACCCCTCTCTCTCTCTCTCTCTCTCTCTCTCTCTCTCTCTCTCCACCCACCACTCCATCCCTCTCCGTCTTATACGTGACCGTCTCAACAGTTCGATTTCCGGAAGTGACCGTCTTTGACGAAACGAACTCTCCGGGTAGCTGAAACAAAGATTCCTCAATGATCCCTGCCAGCTTGCCCGTACCTCCTGTTCCTTTTGTGATCCATTCTCATAAGCGACAGTCCTTGTGTGTGTCTCGTATACTTTTCCCTGTTTACTGGGTGATACCCGCGGGACGACTTGTTCGTGTACTCGCTCCACTGTCGAGACACCCTGCAAATCAGATATTTTAAGGTTCTTCTGCATTATCGGGGGGGGGAACGAATTTTTTGTGCTAATCTAGAAATGCCTATCAATTTAATAGAAATTATTAAGAGTAGAAACAATTTAGAAACGGCTAAAAATCCATAGGAAAGCCTTGACAGTTCCTTTAAAGTAGCAAAGAGATAGCAACGATTTTTGCGGAAATTTTTCCTCAAAGATCTCGGCTAGCCCGCGTGCCTCTAATATAGTTTTTCGACCTACATTCTCGTCCTCGGGTATCGTAAAGTTCTGGAAGGTCTGCTTCTGGACGGTAGATTTCACTTGGGAGGTCTTGATGGTTCGACTGAAAATATTTGCGTTAATGGGAGCTGAGGGAGAGTGAGAGAGTGAGAGAGTGAGAGAGAGAGCGAGAGAGAGAGAGAGAGAGTGAGAGAGTGAGAGTGAGTGAGAGAGAGAGACGGATGGAGAGAGAGATGGAGAGAGAGAGTGAGAGAGTGAGAGAGAGCAAGAGAGTAGGTGAGAGAGAGTGAGAGAGACAGAGAGAGAGCGAGAGAGAGCTATAGCGAGACAGAGAGAGAGATAGAGAACAAATTTAAGTTCTGCCCCATTTTAAAGGCACCCTAAAGACCAAAATCCACAGCGAAAACATACGTTACGGTATGTCCATCATCATCAACTTCTTGTACCACCTGATCGGGCATGATATTCGTCTCCTGCCACCTCTGTACCGTAGTGTGTGGCTGGCCGCTCTCCTAAACAAAATCCCATTTTTGCATGTTTACATACCGTAATCGAATAAGCTCTACAAAAGCTGAACATAAGCTCCTCGAATTTAAAAGTTTTTGCCTTCAACGGCCCTTAAAAACCCGAAAGCCCCACAAACCATTGAATTTTTATTTTTAACTGTTTTTCTAGGTTTTTTTGATTGATTAGAATTGGAAATTTTGAAAATTTAAACTGGTAAATTGATTTTAAAGGGAGCGGCAAGGCAAAAATCCATAAATTTTTTTGGTTATGGATTCCTGCCTTGCCGGCCCCTTTAAGACGGGCAAATTGCCGAAAACGCACACGGCACACGCAACGCATCGCAGACACGGCACACAGCACACGCGAGAGAGGGTTAGTGGGGGGGGGGACAACGCGCAGAGAGACTTTGGGGAAAATTCTCACGAAAAAGGGAGGCTAGCAGAGATTCTTGTGGAAATCCGATCTCCCAGAGGCAAACTAGCACAGAGAATTACGGAAAATCTGACCTACAAGGGGCTAGCTAGCAGAGATTTTTGAGGAGCTCCGGAGGGATAGGCGGGCTAGCAAAGATCTCCAGGGAAATTTTGGAATTAGGAAGCTCTAGAGTCAGATAACAGAGATCTTTTGAGAAATCCGATCCGGGGCAACGAGCAAAGAGAATTTGAGGATTTCCATGGCAAAATGCGGGCGAGCAAAGAACATTGAGGAATTTCGGTCCGGGCAAACTAGCAGAGAGCATTAGGGGAAATTTGACCCGCAAGGGGCTAGCTAGCAGAGTTTATTGGGGAAAATCCATGCGGGACGGGTTGGCAGAGAGAATTAGGGAAAACCGAATCCGCAAAAGGCTAACGAGCAGCGCTCCTTTGCGGAAATTTAAGGGATAGGCAAGCTAGCAGAGGTTGTTAAAGAAATCCTACCTCCCAGAGGCAAACTAGCAGAGACTTTTGCGGACAATCGGACCCTCGAGGGTAGCTAGCAGCGACAACTTGCGGATTTCAAAGCTAGGCAAGTCAGCAGAGACAATTAGAGAAAAAGCAAGCCCGGGCAGGCAAGCAGAGACCTTGGCGAAATCTCGAACCCGGACAGGCTAGCAGAGAGAATTAGGGAAAACCAGAGAGATTCTTTGTGAAATTCAAGGGCTAGGCAAGCTAGCAGAGATTCTTAAGGAAACCCTACCTCCCAGAGGCAAACTAGCAGAGATTATTAAGGATACTCCGTGCCCGGGCAGGCTAGCAGAAGCCCTTTAGGAAAACCGGGACCGCTGGGGCAACGAGCAGAGGCCATTTGCGGATTTCAGGCCTAGGCAAGTTAGCAGAGATTATTAGAGAAAAACCCTGGCCGGGCAGGCTAGCAGAAACCCCCTGCGGAAGCCGGTTAGTCGAAGCGAAAGCAGGGGAACATAAATGGCCTGCGCTACTCGCAAAACCTCTGTTTCAAAATACAATCAGTACCGCGAGGGAGACCGGCAGAACATCAGCACCGCGTACGGTATGTGTACGCTCAGCGTGCGTGATCCGTGGCGACGTCAGATTCAGCCGTTCCGCACGCGCCATTGTCGACGGCAGTGACTGCAGTGGGAGGGGGATAACGTACCTTTACCCAATGGATTTTATCAGGGAAATAGGGACACGCACAGGCGCATGCTTTTAAAGGGACCGGCAAGGCAGCGGGGAGGCTAGCAGAGAACGTTGAGGAAAAGAGGTCTTCCTCGCTCTCTCGCTCATTCTCTCTCTCTCTCTCGCTCTCTCTCTCGCTAACTTTCGCTCTCCCTCTCTCTCTCTCTCTCTCTCTCTCTCTCTCTTTTCCTCAATGATCTCTGCTAGCAGGCCGCTTAATCCTTTTACCACCAGACTCTTAAAAGGACCCAAAACGGCGTGCGGGAGCGGATTTTCAGGTTCTTTTGCATTATCGGGGGGGAGAAAATTGTAGTCATAAACGTAAAAATCCTATTTATCAAAAAAATACAAAAAATATCGATTTTTCGACCGAAAAGGCCTTTTTTGCCCAAATTTTCGAATTTTTGAAACATTTTCCAAGTTTTTGGATAGTTTTTCTAGTTAAAATACAGTCTCGTTTTACCAAAAACATTATCAAAATACCTCCTAATAAGCTCCTAGGCATTTCTAGATTAATCCAAAAAATTTCCGCCCCCCCGATAATGCGAAAGAACCAATTTTGCAAATATGGTATCTGTAAGCCGGAATTGCATGCAGCATGCAGTAGGTGTACGAGAAGGGACAGGAGGACACGCCTTTAGAGGTTCATGCAAGTGAAGATAGGGGGGAAATTGACGCATTAATGATAGGATAGAGCAGCCGCACACAAATATCGCAGAATAAAAATCAAGCTACAAAATACAACCCGTAGCTATGAACTACAGGCTACAGATTCTAGGCACAAAGGCGAAAAATTAAACCTTATAGAGCAGCGAATAGAACAACTACAGTTCTAGGCTAGAGACTACAAAATACAGGCCACAGACTACAAGAAGAGCTATAAACTACAACTTTTTATAACGTACAAAAGCTTCAGAACCAAATAGACCCAGAGACTACATACTACAAACAATCCATGACCACAAAAGCGGAAAGAAATCGCGCAAGACTACAGCCTACAGACTACAAATCTACACGCGGGCGCGTACCGGGTCTTTCGGATCAACATGTGGCGTCAACCCCTTTCCGGTCAACCGATACGTCGTCTGATCTTTCTCCTCTCTGATCACCACCCCACACGACGCATCCGCTGGCGTGTAGTGCATCGTCTACAGGCCAACGATAAAATTACCGCATTTTACAAAGGGTACTAATTTTCCCTTAGCCTTAATTTTACTGGACGATTTTTGCGCTTAAAACTCATTAAATTTTTATTTTTTCGTCCAGGAAACCTTAAAAATAAAAATATAGAAAAAGCCAGTTTTCCGTGCCGACAACACAGAGAAAACTTAATACGTAATCGGTTACGCCATTAAAAAGCGTCGGGATGATAAAACGATTACCCTATGAAATTCCAAAAAAACGGATTAAATCAATCGATTACGCCATGAAATGCCTAAAACGGATTCGAAACTAATCGATTACGCCACTAAAAACCTAGGCAAAGAGCAACAACCAAAATTGGATTTTTGCAATCGATTACGCCACTAAAATCAAGGGTGATGGTGGGGGGAAAAGGAGAAATTCCATTCTGTCGACACGCCTTTTAGAAACGAGTGTATTCTTGGATTTACACTTGCTAATCAGTCAAAAACGGACCTGTGGTGGTACTTCGGCACCCGGACGACTCGAAGCATGGGTGTTGGTAGTCTGGCGGACAACGACGAGGGCCTGAAAACGAACAGATTACGACTGGTAATCCCGAGAATGACAGCTATCTAGCAGAGGTCAATTGGGGAATGGGTAGCCTGGGTGGCAGCTAGATTAGATCCTGAGTGGCAGGCTAGCAGAGTTCATTTGCGGAAATTTCTAGAGCCGCCCAGATCGAGTTGAATCGATTACGACTGGTAATTCCGAAACCATGTGAAAAACTAGTTGTGATTTTTGGGGAATGGGTAGTCTGCATGGCAGCGAAATGGAATTCGGAGGGGCATGCTAGCAACGTCCATTTGCGGAAAATTTCAGAGGCGCATAGAACGAGTCGATTCGATTAGGACTGGTAATTCCCAAACCCTGTGGTAAGCCAGCAGAGATCTTTGGGGAATGGGTAACCTGCATGGCAGCTAGATGGTATCCCAAGTCAGCCAGCTAGCAAAGACAATTTGCAGAAGTTTTAGGATCTAAATCAGTCCCATCTCTCCCCCGTTCTCAAAATCCACACTTCCCAATCCCTTCAAAAGGTGTAGGCCATAAAGACCTCACTTTTTGCGGGGTGTTGGCCCTCTCCGGAAATCCCCCAGGGTCGGGCGAGACTTTCAGCGAAATAATTCTTCAAAATCTGCCCCCCCCTGGCCCTTTCCCCACTTTTTTGTGGGCCCCAAAAAGCAGAGCAGATTGATGGGGGTGGGCTGTGTTTTTCACCCCCCAACCCCATCATATCAATTTGTAGGGTCGGGGTGTGGGGGGAAAACAGAGAACGGGTTTGGGGTTGTTTTAAAGGGACCGGGACATGCGTCGGTCTATCGATTACGCCAGATAATTAGCACGGCTGAAGAAAACCGATTACGCTATGCGAAAAGGTAAGAGTCTAACCGATTAGGCTAGGTAACGGCTAGAGAGTCAATCGGGGAATCGATTACGCCATTTAATTATTGCGCTTCGGTACAAACGATTACGCTAGGCTAGTGCTTAAAGAGGCATGGAGCGTCAGGCAAAACCCAGTTCCCCCTCAAAAATTCACTCACCTTCTCCTCCTCGCTGTCCGAACTCGTTGATGACGTGTCTACCGTATTCTCCTGTCCCTTGTGCCCTTTCTTCGATTTCTTCTGCTTTCCATCCTTCGTCGACCCGGCGCCAGCCTGAAAATGAGCAAAAATTACACGGGTTTTCTTGGATTTTTCTATTGCTATTCCGTGCCGGCCAAACTATAGGTATAAGCTGTTTTACTAGACACAAAGGGTTAGGGATAGAGTGGGTGATGGATAGAGAGGGTGCAGAGACACAGGGGGTAACTAGCGGAGATGATTGGGGAGGGTGGACCGGGCGATCTTTTCTTAGGGGTAAGGAACTAGCAGAGATCATTAGGGAGAGAGGGGAGAGCTAGATAGAGGACTAGAGAGAGATAGAGAGAGAGAGAGAGAGAGAGAGAGAGAGAGAGAGAGAAAGAGAGAGGGCTTGTATTCAATTAGTGAACCAACCGCCCATCCTCTGCCCTTGATAGCCTAGGGACATTTATGGCTCTGGGGGAAGTTTGTCCGGCTCTCTCTCTCGCTCGCTCTCTCTCGCTATCTCTCTCTCTCTCTCTCTCTCTCTCTCTCTCTAACTGTCTCTCTCTCTGTCTCTCTCTCTCTATCTCTCTCTCTCTCTCGCTCTCGCTCTCTTTGCCCCTAGGAATCCTACAATATCTCATCCGCAAATACGCTTTGCTAGCTTGCTATGACCCCAGCTGTCATCAAGAAAGACTGCTAGCCTGCCCTTCTAATAGTAAGCTCTCCTCTCTAAGCCTCCCTAAAAACGTCTGCTAGCCACCCATAAACGCAGTTTTCCGCCAAAAATCTCTGCTAGCCAGCCCTAACGCAAAAATTTTGATACGAATCACTGCTGCTCCCTCTAGGGTCTAAATTTGGTCCCAACGTTGTTCATTCCATCCATTTGCGGCAGGGGGGGAAGCATTGCGTGACCCGTATGTGTGGTTCTCCTCCTCCTTCTAGCCCTCAATTCCCCGGGGGACTTCCCCCCCTCCCCCGACCGACCCCTGTGGGCCACAAAAGAACTGCTAGGAGTGGACCCTGGGCCCCAGCCAGCCCGGCGAGTTTTTTTGCGACCCCTGGCCCAGAAGGCACTCAAGGGGGCAGAAAGGGGGGGAGAGATGCTTCTCCTGGATCTACCTTTGGCATAGTGGCCGGGCAAACAAATAGACCGAAAGGGATACACAGGGGAAAACGGGCGATTGTCTGGGGGGATAAAGGGTGAGGGGTGAGCTAGCAGAGATTTTTAGAGAAATCGAAATGGCCGACTACCAGCAATTCTTGGGGAATTCAGAATCCAGGTAAGCTAGCGAAGAACATTTTCGCAAAATTCGGTCTCGAAGAGGCTAGACGAAAGACTAAAACTTCTGAGAAAAACCTAGAAAACTTGCCCGTTTGCACGACTTTTTGTTTACTCAAAGTACTGCCAAGCTGCCCAGAGACATGATGTTCCGCAAACCATCTGCTAAACTGTCGGACTCCAACCTTGCGGAAATGCTTACTGCTAGCCTGCCCTCGCAGACCTCCGCCTAAGACTGTCTAGCAACGATCATTTGCGAAAAACGTCCCCCTACCAAAATCTAACCTCAAAAAATTCCCCCCAAAAGCCCCCCGCAATCCGCCCAGCCATTCCGCGATCTAATTAAAACCCGGGCAATTGACCCCGGGGTCCACCCCGCCGCTGGGGGTCCCCCTGGCAATCAGATGCGGGGCTTCGCAAGAGCAGAAAGAAACGAAAAAGAGGGGGCAGCATCTCTATAAGATAAGAGCCGCCCGGTGTCCCTGCTGTTTGTCAAACAAAAAAGCGCAAGAAACGGCCATCCGCTGCCCATCGGGGGGCTACGAATCGAATTTGTAACGGCTGGGGGCAAAGGGTGGACATTCTCCCCACCTATGGGCAATATTGGCATCAAAAAACTGATCCGGAAATTACTCGAAGTACCAAAAAACCTCCGAAAATGTCTTTGCTAGTTACCCTAAAAGAAAATAAAACAAGCGTAGTCACCCTGCCCAACTTCTAGCCAATATTCGCATCACCAAAAACTGATCAGGAACCGACTATAACTACCAAAAAACCTCGAAAAATTTCTCTGCCCTAAAAGAAAATAGATCGCCCGGTCCAAGACTACAAAGTACAACAAAAAACGGCGGCCACACGACACCACAAAACGCACAAAACACAGGTGGGTTAGCGGAACTGAAAGGCAATGGAAAACGAAAATGGCACAGAAAATAAAGAACGGTTCAGCGCGCCGAAAATCTATAAACTAGACTAGAAAAGCTAAAAAATGATGGTTGATCGACTAAAAAAAGCTTGAAAAGGCTTAATTTTTAGCTTAAAATCCATATAAAAGATTACCGAGTGTCTTCGGCGAGCTGAACCACGAAAAAAGCTGGGGTACAGGGGCACAACAGAAAATAGGCAGTGTGAACACGACGAAAGCGCATGACGGCCGGGTGAGGAAACGAAAGGCCATTACGCGCGTGTTTCGCGGTCAAAACACTTGGAAATTGGCTTTTTAGTCAGCTAAGAGCGTTAGCTGATAAAAAACATGGTTCTTAATGGCTTATCACATTAACAAACTGAAATGCTGATCAAATTCTTAAAATTTAAAGTTTGGCGCTAAGAATCGATGGTTTTCAAGCATTCAAAATAAGCAATGAGCCAAAAAGACTAAAAAGCCCCTATAATCGAATATTCACAAGTAAAAAACGTGTTTAGAACGTTTTTATGAACAAAAACGCAGTAGACTACGGCAGGGCGGGGCAGGGCGGGACAGGGCGGGCAGAAAGGCCTTTTCCCCGCTCTCCCAGGCCCTTTTCCCCTCTGGAAACTGCCTTTTCGGGTTATTTAATATCTTTGCGCGCTAAATTAGTTTGCAAAAACCTTTTCCTGTTCTTTTTGTAGATATACAAAACTATAAGTTATGTTTAAAACAGAAATTACAAGTCTTGCCCCAAAATTTCGGCCTATTAACCGTTTTTATAACGTTTTTCTTCAGTTTTGGCGCAGTAAAACTGGGAAAACCCAATTTAGAACATGTTTCTTGCTTCCTAACGTCATTCCTCAACAATAATACGTTTGCAGAAAGTTTCTATGGCCAGAAAAGAAGCGAGCGAGGACCGTGTTGGGCAGCGAAAAGCGGCCAAATTTGAAGGTTTTTCATTTCATTCTATTTCGTAAAACTTGCCCTTTTTTGTATTAATAAAAATGTTACTAACCTATAAAAAACGTTTCCAATCCGTTAAATTACACGATAACTAATGCAAAAATCAAAGATAAAGTCTACTCCAAGTTTTAGCGCACAAAAACGGTACTTTAGACAAATAAAGATAATCGCTTACGATTTTAAATTACCCAAATAAGCTAACAAAACGATAGTCGATAGCGGCTAACTCGTTAACTTGAATAAACCACGTTTTTTCCAAGACATTTGACCGCAAAACACGCCGCAAAACCAAAGAAAGGGCGACACAACCAAAGCTGATAACCAAGACTACAGACCACAAAACTATAACAAACTAAGGACTCCTAGCGTGCCAATTAGTATCGCATAACATTCGATTGCGGGCCCCACCTTGGCTAAACCGAGCCGCTGCAGCAGCGACTTGCCGGCTGGCATGGTGGTTGTGGCGGCGGCGGCGGCGTCAGTTCCCTGCTTTTCTGGGCTCTTCCCCGGGCTGCTGACCGGCACCCAGGCCACGCCCCCTCCAGCCCCGCCCCGCAGTCGCTTCTCTAGCGTGTACTGCGGGTGCAGCTCGATCTCGCACCGCTTTTCGATGCGCACCTCGACAATTTCGGTACCCTCGAACTGGTCTTGCAGGTTCCAGAGTCGACTTTCGAGCTCGGCTAGTGGTTCGAGGGCCAAGACTGGGGATTTGTCGGCCTCGGTGCTGAGCTGTGGCTGGTAGGATTTGGTTGGGGTGTACTTCGGGAGCGAGGGAAGTCGCTGGTACTCTCCTGGGTGGTAGGGAGAGCAGGTTGTGCTGAAGATGGAGTGCGACAGATCCGGGTTTAGAGTTGTCAGGTCGTACTCGCCTTCGTAGATGGTTGTTCCGGGATACGATGACCAGTCGATTTGTTCTCGTTCTACGAACTCAACGTGCCCGGCGTGGGTCAAACGAGCAAAGGTTTTCAGTCGCTGCACCAGAGCTAAGACAGGTCTCTCGCTTGGTAGTTTCGGGAACACGGCCAACTCGGAGTGTGGCATGTTGGAATATCCAAGTTGTGTGTCGACGCTTTCATCAATGACTGGGACCTGATAGCTTTGCGCAACCGGGTCCGCCACTTCTTCTTCGCCGCCGTGTCGCAGTCGCTCAAAGATCCGCAGCGACTTTGTTGGCAGACTGACAGACCACCGGATTCGGCGCCCCTCCTTGCCTCGTTCTTGCTTCGATTGTTCGGCGGATGTTTCAGCACCAATCGGCAACTTCTCGAGGTCGTTCTCACGATCCACCTCATCAAGTGGTCCTTCGTACTTGTCAGAAGTCGAGGGATAGGGCTCCTCATGGCTGATGTCCTTGGATCCCTTCTTTCCTCCGATTTTGAAGGAGGGCAAGTGGAATCCGAAGCCACGCTTCTTCTTCTCGTCGATCGAGGTCTCGGCCACTTCGGGTTGTTCGTCTTGTGGTACCTCCTTCAGGTAGACAACGGCTGTCCTCTGGGTCTCTTCAGGTGTTTCCACAGCCAGGACAGGCGATGCCTCCTTCTTCGACTTCCGCCACGACTCGCCATGATGATAGGCAGTCGCGTGTTCGGCAAGTGGGGCTCCTTCCAGGTCTTTCTCATGAGACAGATCAGCAAGAGGTCCTTCATGAGCAGTCGTGTCGAGATTGTATGGATCGACGATGTCTGCGACCTCTTCTTCGCCCTCGTGTCTCGTCCTTCCGAACAAGAAGAAACGTTTCGTTGTCTTGGTTTCCTTGTGCTCGCTGGGTTGAGCTTCAAGGGGCAACTTCTCGAGGTCGTTCTCACGATCCACCTGATCAAGAGGTCCTTCGTACTTGTCAGAAGTCGAGGGATAGGGCTCCTCATGGCTGATGTCCTTGGATCCCTTCTTGCTTCCGAACTTGAGAGAAGGCAAGTGGAATCCGAAGCCACGCTTCTTTTTCTCGTCGATCGAGGTCTCGGCCACTTCGGGTTGTTCGTCTTGTGGTACCTCCTTCAGGTAGACAACGGCTGTCCTCTGGGTCTCTTCAGGTGTTTCCACGGCCAGGACAGGCGATGCCTCCTTCTTCGACTTCCGCCACGACTCGCCATGATGATAGGCAGTCGCGTGTTCGGCAAGTGGGGCTCCTTCCAGATCTTGTTCTCGTGGAAGGTCAGCAGGAGGTCCTTCATGAGCAGTCGTGTCGAGATTGTATGGATCGACGATGTCTGCGACCTCTTCTTCGCCCTCGTGTCTCGTCCTTCCGAACAAGAAGAAACGTTTCGTTGTCTTGGTTTCCTTGTGCTCGCTGGGTTGAGCTTCAAGGGGCAACTTCTCGAGGTCGTTCTCACGATCCACCTCATCAAGAGGTCCTTCGTACTTGTCAGAAGTCGAGGGATAGGGCTCCTCATGGCTGATGTCCTTGGATCCCTTCTTTCCTCCGATTTTGAAGGAGGGCAAGTGGAATCCGAAGCCACGCTTCTTCTTCTCGTCGATCGAGGTCTCGGCCACTTCGGGTTGTTCGTCTTGTGGTACCTCCTTCAGGTAGACAACGGCTGTCCTCTGGGTCTCTTCAGGTGTTTCCACGGCCAGGACAGGCGATGCCTCCTTCTTCGACTTCCGCCACGAGTCGCCATGATGATAGGCAGTCGCGTGTTCGGCAAGTGGGGCTCCTTCCAGATCTTGTTCTCGTGGAAGGTCAGCAAGAGGTCCTTCATGAGCAGTCGTGTCGAGATTGTATGGATCGACGATGTCTGCGACCTCTTCTTCGCCCTCGTGTCTCGTCCTTCCGAACAAGAAGAAACGTTTCGTTGTCTTGGTTTCCTTGTGCTCGCTGGGTTGAGCTTCAAGGGGCAACTTCTCGAGGTCGTTCTCACGATCCACCTCATCAAGAGGTCCTTCGTATTTGTCAGAAGTCGAGGGATAGGGCTCCTCATGGCTGATGTCCTTGGATCCCTTCTTTCCTCCGATTTTGAAGGAGGGCAAGTGGAATCCGAAGCCACGCTTCTTCTTCTCGTCGATCGAGGTCTCGGCCACTTCGGGTTGTTCGTCTTGTGGTACCTCCTTCAGGTAGACAACGGCTGTCCTCTGGGTCTCTTCAGGTGTTTCCACAGCCAGGACAGGCGATGCCTCCTTCTTCGACTTCCGCCACGACTCGCCATGATGATAGGCAGTCGCGTGTTCGGCAAGTGGGGCTCCTTCCAGATCTTGTTCTCGTGGAAGGTCAGCAAGAGGTCCTTCATGAGCAGTCGTGTCGAGATTGTATGGATCGACGATGTCTGCGACCTCTTCTTCGCCCTCGTGTCTCGTCCTTCCGAACAAGAAGAAACGTTTCGTTGTCTTGGTTTCCTTGTGCTCGCTGGGTTGAGCTTCAAGGGGCAACTTCTCGAGGTCGTTCTCACGATCCACCTGATCAAGAGGTCCTTCGTACTTGTCAGAAGTCGAGGCATAGGGCTCCTCATGGCTGATGTCCTTGGATCCCTTCTTGCTTCCGAACTTGAGAGAAGGCAAGTGGAATCCGAAGCCACGCTTCTTTTTCTCGTCGATCGAGGTCTCGGCCACTTCGGGTTGTTCGTCTTGTGGTACCTCCTTCAGGTAGACAACGGCTGTCCTCTGGGTCTCTTCAGGTGTTTCCACAGCCAGGACAGGCGATGCCTCCTTCTTCGACTTCCGCCACGACTCGCCATGATGATAGGCAGTCGCGTGTTCGGCAAGTGGGGCTCCTTCCAGATCTTGTTCTCGTGGAAGGTCAGCAAGAGGTCCTTCATGAGCAGTCGTGTCGAGATTGTATGGATCGACGATGTCTGCGACCTCTTCTTCGCCCTCGTGTCTCGTCCTTCCGAACAAGAAGAAACGTTTCGTTGTCTTGGTTTCCTTGTGCTCGCTGGGTTGAGCTTCAAGGGCAACTTCTCGAGGTCGTTCTCACGATCCACCTGATCAAGAGGTCCTTCGTACTTGTCAGAAGTCGAGGCATAGGGCTCCTCATGGCTGATGTCCTTGGATCCCTTCTTTCCTCCGATTTTGAAGGAGGGCAAGTGGAATCCGAAGCCACGCTTCTTCTTCTCGTCGATCGAGGTCTCGGCCACTTCGGGTTGTTCGTCTTGTGGTACCTCCTTCAGGTAGACAACGGCTGTCCTCTGGGTCTCTTCAGGTGTTTCCACGGCCAGGACAGGCGATGCCTCCTTCTTCGACTTCCGCCACGACTCGCCATGATGATAGGCAGTCGCGTGTTCGGCAAGTGGGGCTCCTTCCAGGTCTTGTTCTCGTGGAAGGTCAGCAGGAGGTCCTTCATGAGCAGTCGTGTCGGGATTGTATGGATCGACGATGTCTGCGACCTCTTCTTCGCCCTCGTGTCTCGTCCTTCCGAACAAGAAGAAACGTTTCGTTGTCTTGGTTTCCTTGTGCTCGCTGGGTTGAGCTTCAAGGGGCAACTTCTCGAGGTCGTTCTCACGATCCACCTCATCAAGAGGTCCTTCGTACTTGTCAGAAGTCGAGGGATAGGGCTCCTCATGGCTGATGTCCTTGGATCCCTTCTTTCCTCCGATTTTGAAGGAGGGCAAGTGGAATCCGAAGCCACGCTTCTTCTTCTCGTCGATCGAGGTCTCGGCCACTTCGGGTTGTTCGTCTTGTGGTACCTCCTTCAGGTAGACAACGGCTGTCCTCTGGGTCTCTTCAGGTGTTTCCACAGCCAGGACAGGCGATGCCTCCTTCTTCGACTTCCGCCACGACTCGCCATGATGATAGGCAGTCGCGTGTTCGGCAAGTGGGGCTCCTTCCAGATCTTGTTCTCGTGGAAGGTCAGCAAGAGGTCCTTCATGAGCAGTCGTGTCGAGATTGTATGGATCGACGATGTCTGCGACCTCTTCTTCGCCCTCGTGTCTCGTCCTTCCGAACAAGAAGAAACGTTTCGTTGTCTTGGTTTCCTTGTGCTCGCTGGGTTGAGCTTCAAGGGGCAACTTCTCGAGGTCGTTCTCACGATCCACCTGATCAAGAGGTCCTTCGTACTTGTCAGAAGTCGAGGGATAGGGCTCCTCATGGCTGATGTCCTTGGATCCCTTCTTGCTTCCGAACTTGAGAGAAGGCAAGTGGAATCCGAAGCCACGCTTCTTTTTCTCGTCGATCGAGGTCTCGGCCACTTCGGGTTGTTCGTCTTGTGGTACCTCCTTCAGGTAGACAACGGCTGTCCTCTGGGTCTCTTCAGGTGTTTCCACAGCCAGGACAGGCGATGCCTCCTTCTTCGACTTCCGCCACGACTCGCCATGATGATAGGCAGTCGCGTGTTCGGCAAGTGGGGCTCCTTCCAGGTCTTGTTCTCGTGAGAAGGTCAGCAAGAGGTCCTTCATGAGCAGTCGTGTCGAGATTGTATGGATCGACGATGTCTGCGACCTCTTCTTCGCCCTCGTGTCTCGTCCTTCCGAACAAGAAGAAACGTTTCGTTGTCTTGGTTTCCTTGTGCTCGCTGGGTTGAGCTTCAAGGGGCAACTTCTCGAGGTCGTTCTCACGATCCACCTGATCAAGAGGTCCTTCGTACTTGTCAGAAGTCGAGGCATAGGGCTCCTCATGGCTGATGTCCTTGGATCCCTTCTTGCTTCCGAACTTGAGAGAAGGCAAGTGGAATCCGAAGCCACGCTTCTTTTTCTCGTCGATCGAGGTCTCGGCCACTTCGGGTTGTTCGTCTTGTGGTACCTCCTTCAGGTAGACAACGGCTGTCCTCTGGGTCTCTTCAGGTGTTTCCACGGCCAGGACAGGCGATGCCTCCTTCTTCGACTTCCGCCACGACTCGCCATGATGATAGGCAGTCGCGTGTTCGGCAAGTGGGGCTCCTTCCAGATCTTGTTCTCGTGGAAGGTCAGCAAGAGGTCCTTCATGAGCAGTCGTGTCGAGATTGTATGGATCGACGATGTCTGCGACCTCTTCTTCGCCCTCGTGTCTCGTCCTTCCGAACAAGAAGAAACGTTTCGTTGTCTTGGTTTCCTTGTGCTCGCTGGGTTGAGCTTCAAGGGGCAACTTCTCGAGGTCGTTCTCACGATCCACCTGATCAAGAGGTCCTTCGTACTTGTCAGAAGTCGAGGGATAGGGCTCCTCATGGCTGATGTCCTTGGATCCCTTCTTTCCTCCGATTTTGAAGGAGGGCAAGTGGAATCCGAAGCCACGCTTCTTCTTCTCGTCGATCGAGGTCTCGGCCACTTCGGGTTGTTCGTCTTGTGGTACCTCCTTCAGGTAGACAACGGCTGTCCTCTGGGTCTCTTCAGGTGTTTCCACAGCCAGGACAGGCGATGCCTCCTTCTTCGACTTCCGCCAGGACTCGCCATGATGATAAGCAGTCGCGTGTTCGGCAAGTGGGGCTCCTTCCAGGTCTTGTTCTCGTGAGAAGGTCAGCAAGAGGTCCTTCATGAGCAGTCGTGTCGAGATTGTATGGATCGACGATGTCTGCGACCTCTTCTTCGCCCTCGTGTCTCGTCCTTCCGAACAAGAAGAAACGTTTCGTTGTCTTGGTTTCCTTGTGCTCGCTGGGTTGAGCTTCAAGGGGCAACTTCTCGAGGTCGTTCTCACGATCCACCTGATCAAGAGGTCCTTCGTACTTGTCAGAAGTCGAGGGATAGGGCTCCTCATGGCTGATGTCCTTGGATCCCTTCTTTCCTCCGATTTTGAAGGAGGGCAAGTGGAATCCGAAGCCACGCTTCTTCTTCTCGTCGATCGAGGTCTCGGCCACTTCGGGTTGTTCGTCTTGTGGTACCTCCTTCAGGTAGACAACGGCTGTCCTCTGGGCCTCTTCAGGTGTTTCCACAGCCAGGACAGGCGATGCCTCCTTCTTCGACTTCCGCCAGGACTCGCCATGATGATAGGCAGTCGCGTGTTCGGCAAGTGGGGCTCCCTCCAGGTCTTTCTCATGAGACAGATCGTCAAGAGGTCCTTCATGAGCAGTCGTGTCGAGATTGTATGGATCGACGATGTCTGCGACCTCTTCTTCGCCCTCGTGTCTCGTCCTTCCGAACAAGAAGAAACGTTTCGTTGTCTTGGTTTCCTTGTGCTCGCTGGGTTGAGCTTCAAGGGGCAACTTCTCGAGGTCGTTCTCACGATCCACCTCATCAAGAGGTCCTTCGTATTTGTCAGAAGTCGAGGGATAGGGCTCCTCATGGCTGATGTCCTTGGATCCCTTCTTTCCTCCGATTTTGAAGGAGGGCAAGTGGAATCCGAAGCCACGCTTCTTCTTCTCGTCGATCGAGGTCTCGGCCACTTCGGGTTGTTCGTCTTGTGGTACCTCCTTCAGGTAGACAACGGCTGTCCTCTGGGTCTCTTCAGGTGTTTCCACAGCCAGGACAGGCGATGCCTCCTTCTTCGACTTCCGCCAGGACTCGCCATGATGATAGGCAGTCGCGTGTTCGGCAAGTGGGGCTCCTTCCAGATCTTGTTCTCGTGGAAGGTCAGCAAGAGGTCCTTCATGAGCAGTCGTGTCGAGATTGTATGGATCGACGATGTCTGCGACCTCTTCTTCGCCCTCGTGTCTCGTCCTTCCGAACAAGAAGAAACGTTTCGTTGTCTTGGTTTCCTTGTGCTCGCTGGGTTGAGCTTCAAGGGGCAACTTCTCGAGGTCGTTCTCACGATCCACCTCATCAAGAGGTCCTTCGTACTTGTCAGAAGTCGAGGGATAGGGCTCCTCATGGCTGATGTCCTTGGATCTCTTCTTGCTTCCGAACTTGAGAGAAGGCAAGTGGAATCCGAAGCCACGCTTCTTTTTCTCGTCGATCGAGGTCTCGGCCACTTCGGGTTGTTCGTCTTGTGGTACCTCCTTCAGGTAGACAACGGCTGTCCTCTGGGTCTCTTCAGGTGTTTCCACGGCCAGGACAGGCGATGCCTCCTTCTTCGACTTCCGCCACGACTCGCCATGATGATAGGCAGTCGCGTGTTCGGCAAGTGGGGCTCCTTCCAGATCTTGTTCTCGTGGAAGGTCAGCAAGAGGTCCTTCATGAGCAGTCGTGTCGAGATTGTATGGATCGACGATGTCTGCGACCTCTTCTTCGCCCTCGTGTCTCGTCCTTCCGAACAAGAAGAAACGTTTCGTTGTCTTGGTTTCCTTGTGTTCGCTGGGTTGAGCTTCAAAGAGCAACTTCTCGAGGTCGTTCTCACGATCCACCTCATCAAGAGGTCCTTCGTATTTGTCAGAAGTCGAGGGATAGGGCTCCTCATGGCTGATGTCCTTGGATCCCTTCTTTCCTCCGATTTTGAAGGAGGGCAAGTGGAATCCGAAGCCACGCTTCTTCTTCTCGTCGATCGAGGTCTCGGCCACTTCGGGTTGTTCGTCTTGTGGTACCTCCTTCAGGTAGACAACGGCTGTCCTCTGGGTCTCTTCAGGTGTTTCCACAGCCAGGACAGGCGATCCCTCCTTCTTCGACTTCCGCCAGGACTCGCCATGATGATAAGCAGTCGCGTGTTCGGCAAGTGGGGCTCCTTCCAGATCTTGTTCTCGTGGAAGGTCAGCAAGAGGGCCTTCATGAGCAGTCGTGTCGAGATTGTATGGATCGACGATGTCTGCGACCTCTTCTTCGCCCTCGTGTCTCGTCCTTCCGAACAAGAAGAAACGTTTCGTTGTCTTGGTTTCCTTGTGCTCGCTGGGTTGAGCTTCAAGGGGCAACTTCTCGAGGTCGTTCTCACGATCCACCTGATCAAGAGGTCCTTCGTACTTGTCAGAAGTCGAGGCATAGGGCTCCTCATGGCTGATGTCCTTGGATCCCTTCTTGCTTCCGAACTTGAGAGAAGGCAAGTGGAATCCGAAGCCACGCTTCTTCTTCTCGTCGATCGAGGTCTCGGCCACTTCGGGTTGTTCGTCTTGTGGTACCTCCTTCAGGTAGACAACGGCTGTCCTCTGGGTCTCTTCAGGTGTTTCCACGGCCAGGACAGGCGATGCCTCCTTCTTCGACTTCCGCCAGGACTCGCCATGATGATAAGCAGTCGCGTGTTCGGCAAGTGGGGCTCCTTCCAGATCTTGTTCTCGTGGAAGGTCAGCAGGAGGTCCTTCATGAGCAGTCGTGTCGAGATTGTATGGATCGACGATGTCTGCGACCTCTTCTTCGCCCTCGTGTCTCGTCCTTCCGAACAAGAAGAAGCGTTTCGTTGTCTTGGTTTCCTTGTGCTCGCTGGGTTGAGCTTCAAGGGGCAACTTCTCGAGGTCGTTCTCACGATCCACCTCATCAAGAGGTCCTTCGTACTTGTCAGAAGTCGAGGGATAGGGCTCCTCATGGCTGATGTCCTTGGATCCCTTCTTTCCTCCGATTTTGAAGGAGGGCAAGTGGAATCCGAAGCCACGCTTCTTCTTCTCGTCGATCGAGGTCTCGGCCACTTCGGGTTGTTCGTCTTGTGGTACCTCCTTCAGGTAGACAACGGTTGTCCTCTGGGCCTCTTCAGGTGTTTCCACAGCCAGGACAGGCGATGCCTCCTTCTTCGACTTCCGCCAGGACTCGCCATGATGATAAGCAGTCGCGTGTTCGGCAAGCGGGGCTCCTTCCAGGTCTTTCTCATGAGACAGATCGTCAAGAGGTCCTTCATGAGCAGTCGTGTCCAGATTGTATGGATCGACGATGTCTGCGACCTCTTCTTCGCCCTCGTGTCTTGTCCTTCCGAACAAGAAGAAGCGTTTCGTTGTCTTGGTTTCCTTGTGCTCGCTGGGTTGAGCTTCAAGGGGCAACTTCTCGAGGTCGTTCTCACGATCCACCTCATCAAGAGGTCCTTCGTACTTGTCAGAAGTCGAGGGATAGGGCTCCTCATGGCTGATGTCCTTGGATCCCTTCTTTCCTCCGATTTTGAAGGAGGGCAAGTGGAATCCGAAGCCACGCTTCTTCTTCTCGTCGATCGAGGTCTCGGCCACTTCGGGTTGTTCGTCTTGTGGTACCTCCTTCAGGTAGACAACGGCTGTCCTCTGGGTCTCTTCAGGTGTTTCCACAGCCAGGACAGGCGATGCCTCCTTCTTCGACTTCCGCCAGGACTCGCCATGATGATAAGCAGTCGCGTGTTCGGCAAGTGGGGCTCCTTCCAGATCTTGTTCTCGTGGAAGGTCAGCAAGAGGGCCTTCATGAGCAGTCGTGTCGAGATTGTATGGATCGACGATGTCTGCGACCTCTTCTTCGCCCTCGTGTCTCGTCCTTCCGAACAAGAAGAAGCGTTTCGTTGTCTTGGTTTCCTTGTGCTCGCTGGGTTGAGCTTCAAGGGGCAACTTCTCGAGGTCGTTCTCACGATCCACCTGATCAAGAGGTCCTTCGTACTTGTCAGAAGTCGAGGGATAGGGCTCCTCATGGCTGATGTCCTTGGATCCCTTCTTGCTTCCGAACTTGAGAGAAGGCAAGTGGAATCCGAAGCCACGCTTCTTTTTCTCGTCGATCGAGGTCTCGGCCACTTCGGGTTGTTCGTCTTGTGGTACCTCCTTCAGGTAGACAACGGCTGTCCTCTGGGTCTCTTCAGGTGTTTCCACGGCCAGGACAGGCGATGCCTCCTTCTTCGACTTCCGCCACGACTCGCCATGATGATAGGCAGTCGCGTGTTCGGCAAGTGGGGCTCCTTCCAGATCTTGTTCTCGTGGAAGGTCAGCAAGAGGGCCTTCATGAGCAGTCGTGTCGAGATTGTATGGATCGACGATGTCTGCGACCTCTTCTTCGCCCTCGTGTCTTGTCCTTCCGAACAAGAAGAAGCGTTTCGTTGTCTTGGTTTCCTTGTGCTCGCTGGGTTGAGCTTCAAGGGGCAACTTCTCGAGGTCGTTCTCACGATCCACCTCATCAAGAGGTCCTTCGTACTTGTCAGAAGTCGAGGGATAGGGCTCCTCATGGCTGATGTCCTTGGATCCCTTCTTTCCTCCGATTTTGAAGGAGGGCAAGTGGAATCCGAAGCCACGCTTCTTCTTCTCGTCAATCGAGGTCTCGGCCAATTCGGGTTGTTCGTCTTGTGGTACCTCCTTCAGGTAGACAACGGCTGTCCTCTGGGTCTCTTCAGGTGTTTCCACAGCCAGGACAGGCGATCCCTCCTTCTTCGACTTCCGCCAGGACTCGCCATGATGATAGGCAGTCGCGTGTTCGGCAAGCGGGGCTCCTTCCAGGTCTTTTCTCGTGAGAAGGTCAGCAAGAGGTCCTTCATGAGCAGTCGTGTCGAGATTGTATGGATCGACGATGTCTGCGACCTCTTCTTCGCCCTCGTGTCTTGTCCTTCCGAACAAGAAGAAACGTTTCGTTGTCTTGGTTTCCTTGTGCTCGCTGGGTTGAGCTTCAAGGGGCAACTTCTCGAGGTCGTTCTCACGATCCACCTCATCAAGAGGTCCTTCGTACTTGTCAGAAGTCGAGGGATAGGGCTTCTCATGGCTGATGTCCTTGGATCCCTTCTTGCTTCCGAACTTGAGAGAAGGCAAGTGGAATCCGAAGCCACGCTTCTTTTTCTCGTCGATCGAGGTCTCGGCCACTTCGGGTTGTTCGTCTTGTGGTACCTCCTTCAGGTAGACAACGGCTGTCCTCTGGGTCTCTTCAGGTGTTTCCACAGCCAGGACAGGCGATGCCTCCTTCTTCAACTTCCGCCACGACTCGCCATGATGATAGGCAGTCGCGTGTTCGGCAAGTGGGGCTCCTTCCAGATCTTGTTCTCGTGGAAGGTCAGCAAGAGGTCCTTCATGAGCAGTCGTGTCGAGATTGTATGGATCGACGATGTCTGCGACCTCTTCTTCGCCCTCGTGTCTCGTCCTTCCGAACAAGAAGAAACGTTTCGTTGTCTTGGTTTCCTTGTGCTCGCTGGGTTGAGCTTCAAGGGGCAACTTCTCGAGGTCGTTCTCACGATCCACCTCATCAAGAGGTCCTTCGTACTTGTCAGAAGTCGAGGGATAGGGCTCCTCATGGCTGATGTCCTTGGATCCCTTCTTTCCTCCGATTTTGAAGGAGGGCAAGTGGAATCCGAAGCCACGCTTCTTCTTCTCGTCAATCGAAGTCTCGGCCAATTCGGGTTGTTCGTCTTGTGGTACCTCCTTCAGGTAGACAACGGCTGTCCTCTGGGCCTCTTCAGGTGTTTCCACAGCCAGGACAGGCGATGCCTCCTTCTTCGACTTCCGCCACGACTCGCCATGATGATAGGCAGTCGCGTGTTCGGCAAGTGGGGCTCCCTCGAGGTCTTTCTCATGGGCCAGATCGTCAAGAGGTCCTTCATGAGCAGTCGTGTCGAGATTGTATGGATCGACGATGTCTGCGACCTCTTCTTCGCCCTCGTGTCTTGTCCTTCCGAACAAGAAGAAGCGTTTCGTTGTCTTGGTTTCCTTGTGCTCGCTGGGTTGAGCTTCAAGGGGCAACTTCTCGAGGTCGTTCTCACGATCCACCTCATCAAGAGGTCCTTCGTACTTGTCAGAAGTCGAGGGATAGGGCTCCTCATGGCTGATGTCCTTGGATCCCTTCTTGCTTCCGAACTTGAGAGAGGGCAAGTGGAATCCGAAGCCACGCTTCTTCTTCTCGTCAATCGAGGTCTCGGCCACTTCGGGTTGTTCGTCTTGTGGTACCTCCTTGAGGTAGACAACGGCTGTCCTCTGGGGCTTTTCAGGTGTTTCCACAGCCAGGACAGGCGATGCCTCCTTCTTCGACTTCCGCCACGACTCGCCATGATGATAGGCCGTCGCGTGTTCGGCAAGTGGGGCTCCCTCGAGGTCTTTCTCATGGGCCAGATCGTCAAGAGGTCCTTCATGAGCAGTCGTGTCGAGATTGTATGGATCGACGATGTCTGCGACCTCTTCTTCGCCCTCGTGTCTTGTCCTTCCGAACAAGAAGAAGCGTTTCGTTTTCTTGGTTTCCTTGTGCTCGCTGGGTTGAGCTTCAAGGGGCAACTTCTCAAGGTCGTTCTCACGATCCACCTCATCAAGAGGTCCTTCGTACTTGTCAGAAGTCGAGGGATAGGGCTCCTCATGGCTGATGTCCTTGGATCCCTTCTTTCTTCCGAATTTGAAGGAAGGCAGGTGGAATCCGAAGCCACGCTTCTTCTTCTCGTCGATCGAGGTCTCGGCCACTTCGGGGTGTTCGTCTTGTGGTACCTCCTTGAGGTAGACAACGGCTGTCCTCTGGGGCTCTTCAGGTGTTTCTACAGCCAGGACAGGCGATGCCTCCTTCTTCGACTTCCGCCACGACTCGCCATGATGATAAGCAGTCGCGTGTTCGGCAAGTGGGGCTCCCTCGAGGTCTTTCTCATGGGCCAGATCCTCGAGAGGTCCTTCATGAGCAGTCGTGTCGAGATTGTATGGATCGACGATGTCTGCGACCTCTTCTTCGCCCTCGTGTCTTGTCCTTCCGAACAAGAAGAAGCGTTTCGTTGTCTTGGTTTCCTTGTGCTCGCTGGGTTGAGCTTCAAGGGGCAACTTCTCGAGGTCATTTTCACGATCCACCTCATCAAGAGGTCCTTCGTACTTGTCGGAAGTCGAGGGATAGGGCTCCTCATGGCTGATGTCCTTGGATCCCTTCTTGCTTCCGAACTTGAGAGAGGGCAAGTGGAATCCGAAGCCACGCTTCTTCTTCTCGTCGATCGAGGTCTCGTCCACTTCGGGTTGTTCGTCTTGTGGTACCTCCTTGAGGTAGACAACGGCTGTCCTCTGGGTCTCTTCAGGTGTTTCCACAGCCAGGACAGGCGATGCCTCCTTCTTCGACTTCCGCCACGACTCGCCATGATGATAGGCAGTCGCGTGTTCGGCAAGTGGGGCTCCCTCGAGGTCTTTCTCATGGGCCAGATCGTCAAGAGGTCCTTCATGAGCAGTCGTGTCGAGATTGTATGGATCGACGATGTCTGCGACCTCTTCTTCGCCCTCATGCCTTGTCCTTCCGAACAAGAAGAAGCGTTTCGTGGTCTTGGTCTCTTCTTCGACGACGACAACGGTCTTCTGTCGCGCTTCTTTTTGTTGTTTTGATTGTTGGTGGTCAAGTGGATATTCTACATGTTCAACAGCAGGAATGGGTATGTGACCAATATCAAGATGTCTGGGAATGGATTGCATTGGCCCGTCATATCGATCGGTTGAGATATAGTGGTATTGAGAGGATTGGGTTGTAGAGTCACGGCTTTTTCGGGGGCTAATATTACGTAGAAAGGCGAGAAGGCGGGAATCCGGTTTTCTAACTTGACGCTCCTTCGAGTCACTGCTAATAGAGTTGGAGCTGCTATCCGAGTCAATGGATCCCCTCTTGGTGGCCTTTCTCTTGTGTGCCTTTCGGGGTACGGTGGGCTGGGGTTTCTTGAGGGCGACATGTTCGGCTAGATGGGTAGCGGGGAGGTCCGAAGACTTCTCGAGTCTCCCCACCGGTTCTTTCTCGATAGTAGGGAATAGATAGTTGGCGTAGTCAAGGGTCTCGTTGGTATCCTCAGAGCCGGTATGTCGCAGTCGCGAGGTGCGGTACCGTTCTGAGCTCCCCGAGTGCTGCACATCCACAAAGTAGCGGATAGGGTAACCAGCCAACTCTCCCTGTCTGCCCAGTTCATCCGGGGATGGCTTGGCAGTGGTCTGTGTAGGTAGAGTGGCATAGTATCCCTTGCTGTACACAGCCGAGATCGACCCAATCGGCACGTCAGGGATCTCCTCCTGACGCTCCAGACTCTCCGTCTTCTCTGGGTTAGCTGGTAGATGAGCAGAGAGCAGCACTGCTCCACTGCCCTGACCTTTGTCCCTGCCAAACAGTCGCCTCGGTCTCTTTCTGGTCCCGGTCCCTCTAGGCGTCTCCTCCTGCGCAAAGCGAACAGCGGCGCCACCACGGGAAGCGGCAGCAGCGGAGGCAGTTAGCGGCTCCTGCGTGTAGTATGCGGCTGAGAGGGGCGACTCGACGGGCAGGTAGACGAGCTCCTCATCCGACATCAGCTCACCAACCTTGATGTCGCGCTTCCGCTGCCGGGCATCTGGGGCGGTGAATGAGCGGTGGGCATGCTGAAAAGGCGAGGGATTAGTGAGGGGGCTGGGGGTGAGCGAGGCGCAGGCGGGAGGTTATATGCCTAGTAAAAAGGGGGAGGAGCAGCCCCATTCCCAGGGTAGAGCTTTGGATGGTTTTCCGCATGTAGGTTCCAGGCTAGTACGGGATTTTCACTCCGTTTTGGAGGCGAGTGAACACGCGGGTGAGAGAGGATTCCGATTTCTCAGCTCTTTCGTCTCCAAAAAGGGAGTGAAGGAGGAAGTTTTTAGGCATTTGAATCTCGTACTTGTCTGGGACCTACATGCGAAAACGTCCAAATTGGAACTAAGCCAAGGCGCATTCGCTGAGAGCGAGGCAATGCGGGGGTCAAGGCGGCAGGCAGCGAAGCATTCCGTTTTTGGCAAGTCACTGGAGGTTACCGAGAGAGTACGAAGCAAATCCAAAGTCCTAGCCATGGTGCGTATCACTGATACGTGAAACAACAGCCATTATTTTCTACGCAACTAAAGCTAGCTTAAGCAGATCGTTGAGGGCCTTAACTTAACGCATCTTGCTTTAGCGTTTCGTTAAGTTCTGCCACACCCCGTTAATTTGCAGCTAATCCTACGGCTTCGTACTCTCCAGGCCCTCCTCATTCCAGTGGCACTTTACATGGGATTACAAGGTCTTGTGTTCTCGTTTTATCACAGCTCATTTATATGGCGTAACCGATTTCCCGGGTTTTACGAATGTTTCAAAAAGGTACCTCAGCTTGGTGGTGCACTGCGTCGTCGGCGGCGTTCACTGAAAAGGATGGGTTTGGGCTTCGGTTTTTTACTACATTTTACGCTTTTTTTCGGCGCTGGAAATCTACGTGAAACCTATTAAAATTAGAAAAAATGATTTTTGGTCAAAAAAGTTAAAAATCTGCAAAAATTGCCATTTTTAAAGGTTGTTTTTTGGGTTTTTACAACTCAAAAGCCACTAAAAACACTATAAAAAAATCTACATTTTTGCCCATTGGGCTAGCTGTGGTGAAAAATTGTTTCCTAAGATTGGCTGGGTAGGCAAAATCACATAATTTTCATGGCCTAATCGATTTTCCTAGGGTTCTCGACTACAACGAGCACGATGCGATGCTCAAAATTGCACCACCTACCGTTCTCCATAGACTGCGTGCCTCTGGCTGCCAGCGGCTGCCCGCTGCGCGTGACGGTGGCCGAGCCGGGCCGATCGAATAGCTGACAACCAATCGTTCTTATTTTACGGGGTCTCAAAATGGTAAGGTCTGATACGTTAATGGGGACGTTAAAATTATCCTAGGTATCTCGGGCATTTACAACATCATAGAGAACAGAAAAATCGAGCGAAAGAGGGGGGGTTCTGAAGTTTAGGCAAAGTTAAGAAGGTATGAAAAGCCGTTTCGTTTTTTTTGTCACCTGGCTGGCCATCTTTGTCTGGAACTGCGTGCGGCCGTGGTAGCCGAAACGGGAGGAGCCGAAGCTGAAGTGGACACCGCTGGGGGTCTCTTCCGGTTGGATCAGGCTGAAAATGGGGGTTTCTTGATTTCGGTTCTCTGGGTTGGAAAATCGGTTCAGAAAATCCTCTATATCTCGGCATTGGAGCATCAGATCGTCATGATTTTTATACCGTTCGAAAGCGCTCAAAAAAATTTCGAATTCTTCACAATTTTCAGTACATTACGTACTGAAACGTAGTAGTAACGCATCGCCTTTTCCAGAGCTTTTGAATGCTGCAAAAATCACTCGAATTCGATGTTCCTGCCCCGAGATATACACTAAGAACTAGTGAAGTCCCGAACTCACCGGAAAAAGGTGTGATGTTCCACGCCACACTTCCAGCACCGCTTCGTGTCATGGTGGGTGGCCATCGTGTAGCTGACCGTGGACACCTTTTTCGGGTGCACCTGAAAAAGGCATCGTAAAACGGTACTTGAGGTATAGTTCGTAGTGCCAGTCACAAGTACCCACCTGCCCGGGCTTGACGTCAATGTGGAATCCGTGGTTCCGGAAGCGAATCTTGACAATGTACTGCCAGGCAAAGCTGTGAAGACGGGCCTGCTCGCGGTAGATGTTGATGCCGAACGAGGAGATGCCGACAGTCACCGGGTGGTTCTTGTTGTCCTGGAAAGGTTGGGACTTCCAGGGGGTTGGGGAGGTATTGCCTAGGCGTTAGGTGCCCTTGAAATCTTAAATCCTCGCGGCGACCCCTAAGTTTTTGACTACAGCTAGTACAATGCGCTACTCCAAACGGTAGCCAGAGGCCTGGGAACTTCTTGGTTTTTATGACTTGCTTCTTCGGTGGGTATCGGTTGTACCACGAAGATAGCTTAAGGCGTAATATCCTCACGGCTACCCCTAGGTTTTCGACTACAAAGAGTACGATGCGCTACTCAGAACCTTACTATCTACGCAGAAAAACCATCCATTTTTTTATTGCCAGATTCACTCACCTTTGCCGGGAACAAAAACACGCCATACATCGGCAACTGTTTGCACGCGTCCAGGTACCCCAAAATCGCGTCATCTTGCGTCTGGCCCCTAGAAAATGCATTACGACATCTAATCCGCGCCTACTTGTGCTTGTGATGTTCCTGGCGGATCTTGTCGATCTGGCCGGGCTCGGGGCTGGGCGAGAATTGGGTCGTCTGCAGGTAGTTCTCGTACTCGGCGCTTTGCTGGAAGGAGGCGGGTTATTCTGAGGTTTTTAGGGGTTAAAGGTCCCTGCTTGCTTGCCCCGGTTTCGCTAGATTTCTCTGCTAGCTTACCTGGACGTCGCCAATCTCCGCTTGGACCTGAAGACCACCAAGGACCGTGTAGGCTTCTGAGGATGCGGCCAGCCTAAAAAACGGAAGGTTTTTTGTTCTCTCTCTCGCTCGCTCTCTCTCGCGCTCTCTCTCGCTCTCTTTCTCGCTCTCTCGCTCTCGATCTCTCGCTCTCGCTCTCTTTCGCTCTCTTTCGCTCTTTCTCTCTCTCTTTGTCACCCTCTCTCGCTTCTCTCTCTCTCTCTCTTCTCTCTCTCTCTCTCTCTCTCCTCTCTCTCTCTTTGTTTTTGTCACTCTCTCTCTCTCGCTCTCCCTGTATCTCCCTACCTTCCGACAAGGATATCCTTCTTCAGCTGCTGATACAGGTTGAACCTGGCGCTCTCATCGGTGAGTGCCGTGGGCTGTGTGGGGAAGAATTTGACCTCATAGCTGAACTCCCACGGCAAGTCCTTTAGTTGTTTTCCAATTGCCTTGTCGTTGTACAGCCAGTGCTAAAAAAATGGGTAAATTACGGTAATTTTTGGGTTACTGTAGGTGCAAAAAAATCGAAAATTTCCAAAAATCATTTTTTCGATTTTTTTTGAAACAGCTATATTTCAGAAAAAAATTAGGATAGTTTTCTGATAATTATCGCGAATTTAGGTCCAGAAATAAAAAAAAACGCGAAAAATTCATTTTTTGTAAGTTTTGAAAATTTTGGTTTTAGAAAATCAGGTAAATGTCATTTTTAATTTTTGGCCGCTGAAAAACCGTTTAAACTACCGTACCCTGACGCCAGTCCTGTCGTAGAAGCAAAGGGAAAAGTACTCCTTCTCCTCGATCGACAGGTCCTTTGTCACCTGGCAGAACAGCGCCTCGCCCTTGTCTTTTTTCTGAAAAAAAGATGGATTGAGATATTCGATTACGCAATGCCAATTTTTCTCTATCTTACCGCTTACTTTTGACGTGATTTTTTAACCCACTAAAAATTGGCCCGACGACCCCATGGCCAATTGGTAAAGCTCTCGCCTCCCGCCCACAAGGCCCGGGTACGACCCCCGGCCGCGGCAAAACTTTTTGCTTTTTGGCCAGTAGCTTCGGGAAGGTGTTATCGTCCCTTTAGAATTGTCAGAAGGGCTCACCGAGAGGGGAAACGTCCTGAATTCGCCGTCGGGGGCCCGGACGACGGCGGTGTGGCCGCCCACGCCCTCTTTCCCCATTTTCTGCAAAATATGGGAATAAAAGTTGTAGTTTGGAGACAAAGAGAGAGAGAGAGAGAGAACGACGAAAACATCAAGGCAAGCTAGCAGAGAAAATTTGTGGAAATTTCAAGGGATGGGGCAATTTGGGGATTAGAACTTTTGACAGGTTAGAGGTGTTTAGATAGGAAGATTGCAAGACGGGGATTTGGGCTGGACCCAGGCAGAAGAATTTGGGGGGCAAGCTAGCAGGGGCAATTTTGGAGTTCGAATCTCAAGGCAAACGAGCAGAGGAAATTTGGGAATTTTCTAAGGCTTAGGGTAAGCCAAAGGTCTTTTAAGAAATTTCTCATGCTCAGGGCCAGCCAGCAGAGACAATTTGCGGAAACCTTCAAAAATCCGGTCCAAAAATGCGACTAGTAATTGTTTACGACTGGGATGGTGGGGGATCATGGAATGGGGATAGAGAGGGGGATAGAGCGGAAGAGAGAGAGACAGTATTTGTGGATCCACTCAACAGAATCAAATACGAACAAACAATGTGGCACACGCAGCCAGAAGATCCGATTCGGAGTGACTCCATGCAGCAGTCAGAAAAGCTATAGGTATCGGATTAAAGGGACCGAAAAGTATGGTATCTGGCGTTTTAAAGGGAATGGCAAGGCATAACTCATGGATTTTTGCCGTTACGCCACCAACCGTGCTTCCGTTGCGTAATCGATTTACGGCACTTTTATGGCAAGCGCGGTGCGTGTCCGGTCTCGAAAAGCTGGGAACAATTCAGTGGTGCCTTCACAGTCCCTTTAAAGGGATTGTAACGCCAGTGCCAGGGTTCTCTCAAAGGAAAATCGGGATCAAACGAGAATCGAAAACGTATTTCGACCGGCGGGTGCTACTTGGAATTCCGCACCGACCCTATTGACGCTTTTCGATATGTGGGTGTCTGGATTTGGAAAACGGTGGAAAATGACGAATGATTCATGGGAGAGAACGGATCAAATCCAATCGCAAGTTAACCCGAAATTGAAAACGAGTGACTAATTTCAACCGCCTAAAATGGCCTGAAAACACGAATAATGTGTTGGATCTGGCAGGGAAACTTTAGGAATTTGCGGAGGGAGAGCAGCTAGCAGAGACCATTTGGGAGGGCCTAAAGCTGAGGGAAAGCCAGCAGGGTGCATTTGCGGAATGTTCTAGGCGTAAGGCGAGCTAGCCGAGAGCCATTTTCGAGCGAGCGCAGGCAACCGAGCAGAGGTAATTTGCGGAAATTCTCGGATTAAGCCTTCCAGGTCCCTTTAAAAATCGATAATCCTTGTTCTGTGGATGGCAGTTGGATAAATGGGTTGTGGTGGGAATGGGGGTAGGTATGATGATTGGAAATGGGGAGGAGAAAGAGAGGGATTGGATCGAAAGAAATGGGGAGCATGAGGAGGAGGAGAGTGGGTATTCAAGGGCATACTAGCCATTTAGGAAGGGGAGGCGAGAGAGCGAGAGAGAGAGAGAGAGAGAGAGAGAGAGAGTGAAAGAGAGAAAACTCTATCGAAATACCGGCAATCTATGCATTCATGGCCCCCTATTTGTACGCTGACACTCCCCCTACCCCAAAATTTCGATTTTCAATCGGCAGTGAGCGGGAAGTGCCAACTAGTCGGCCCCCACCTCACACCACCGTTGGACAAACTGGCCGTCAATATTGCTCAAAATGGGTTGAGGGCAGAGAGGGGTAGACAGTTAGGGTGAAAATCGACGAAACAGAGGACAAAATAGCTGCTAGATCGAGAAATTGCTGGATTACATGCCAGATTTGCCCAAAAAGGTGCAAACTGGCAGTCAGCTAGCTTATTCTAGCATTAAAGACCATTCTAAAGGGGCCATAAACTCAGGAATGCGCCAAGATTACTGGAAATCGAGAGCAAAAAGCCAGAAAAATTATTTCTCCAAAAAAGCGGCTGGTGACCTGGTGGCTAATTGGTTAAGCTCTCGCCTACCACTCACAGGGCCCGGGTTCGACGCCCGGCCGCTGCAAAACTTTTGCTTTTTGCTCAGAAACTGGGAAATCGGTTCCAAAGTCGTTTTAAAGGAGCTTGGAAGACAAAACCTGAGGAGAAAGGGGGGGGGGGGGGAAAAAAAAAAAAGACTGTCAGTTAGACAAACTGTATGACAAACTGACAAATAGAAGGACAGACTGACAGACAATCACGCACATACCCCCGGTCGAGGATTACCATGTTTAGGCGGAAATCGGGCGCCCCCCGGACGCGTAACGACAAATATAAACCCCCCGAATGTTGTCATCGGATTACCATCTGGGAACGGTAGGGGGCAAACGAGCAGTGGGTATTTGGGGAATCGGTAAACTGGGTGGCAGATAAGCGAATTTTGGAAGGGCAGGCTAGCAGAGACGATTTGTGGAAATTTACGGCCCAAAACCCCAATTGGCAGGCAGCTAACCAGCAGAGACCGTTTAGGAAATCCTGGGGTAAGCTAGCGGAGATCTTTTGCGGAATACCTAAACTGCCCACCAATTTAAAATCGAACGCAAGAGACCGTTTGGCGAAATTTCGACCAGAACACCTACTGGCAAACAGGAAACGAGCTGAGACCGTTTAGAAAATCCTGGCGCTAGCTAGCAGAGACCACTTGCGGAATAGCTAACCTGCCTGTAGGTTTGTCCAAATTCAAAGGGGCAAGCTAACAGGGACCCTTTAGGATCGAAAAACGGCTCAAACGCTGCTTCCAACTTGCAACAATTCCGCCTTCCTTGGGATGGCGCGATTTCTTGGATGGCATTGGCGGGAGGTGGGGGGCAATTTGGGCACGGGAGCGGAAGAAGCGTAAGGAGGAAAGAAGCGAAAAGGAATGGAAGGGAAGGGAGGGGGAGGGGTCTTGAATGCTCATACAAAAGCGTCCTTGGAGGGGGACTTCACTGCCCCTCACAATGCAATGATTACGGTCCTGGAAATCCTGAATTCAGGGCAAGCTAGCGGGGATCCTTTGGGGAATCGATAAACTGGCGGCCAGCTAGGCGGCTAGCAGAGATTTTTACGGAATTCAGGGCAAGCCAGCCGAGATCATTGAGGAATCGCTAAACTGGCTGGCAGCTAGCTGATTAGCGAAGATTATAAGCGAATCTGAGGCCAACTAGCAGAGATCTTTGAGGACTGGCTAACATGACTGACAAGTTAGCAGGAATCCTTGGGGAAACGCCTCCAAAGTTTTCCCAGCCTGTCAAAATGCTGATCCCCGCCGGCGTCCTTGGAGTATTGTGAAGGGTCTCTTGCTCCCCCTCCTGCTCCTCAAAATATCGATCCACAATTCCCGCCAGATCCCCCTCCTCCACCTCGATCCAGATGGCGCAATTTGTCCGATCCCTCTCTCCCCCCTGGGGGCACAACTGGTTCCAAGGCTACGGGGTGAAACGCCCACCCGACTATGTAAACTGGGCCAATCTTGACAAGGCAGCCGGATTTCCGCAAAGAATCTCTGCTAGCTTGCCTCCGAAATTATCTGTGCTGGTCAATTCAGCGATTCCGCGAATTGTCTCTGATAGTTGGCCCCTGGATATCCTAAATTGCCTCTGCTAGTTGGCTTCCTGGCAGCTGGGCCGAAAATATGGTTTTAGGGTTGGAAATCGATTCAGATTTTCTCTGCTAGCCTGCCATTTTGGAATTGGCTTCGCTGACAGCCAGCCTAGCCATTCCGCAAATGATCTCTGCTAGCTAGCCCGCAGGAGAGAATCATTCTAGAAAAAGTTGTTAGTCAGAAGGCGAGAGGGAGAGCTATATCGAGAGAGAGAGAGAGATATAGACGGACAGACAGACAGACAGAAAAGAAACACGATTCCGGGCGTCTAGAATTGTGATGTGATTGGGTTGCAGTCGACTCGGCGGGTGGGGGTGGCTATTTTTTGGAAATGCGTGGAAAAAGGGGCGCGAGTGGCGGGTGATTGCGCAAACATTCGCCTTTCATGGAATGGGATGGAGGGCGAGAGAGTGACAGAGAGAGAGAGAGACAGACAGACAGACAGACAGAGAAACATACAAATCCGGTGACAGACAGCCAAATCGACACAAAAAATTGAGGGCAGGTAGGTAAGTGAATGGACAGACAGGCAGTTAACACTTTAAAGGGACCGGCAAGCCACAAATCCACAACGAAAATCCTAGAGAAAGAAAAAACCCTCCGAGCCCCAGTTGGCTAATTGGTCAAGCTCTCGTCTCCCGCCCACACGACCCGGGTTCGAGTCCCAGTCCAGGTAAATTTTTTTGCTTTTTGGTAATTAATGAGGAACTGGGTTGTAGATCCGTTTTAAAGGGGCTATCAAGCCAAAAATCCATAGAATTATCGAGAAAATCAGATTCCTGGAATTTTGCCAAAAAATGCTGACTAATCCAAAGGGGCAGCTGGGCCAATTCGACACAAGATTTAGGGTGAACAATTTCGAAAGCAACAGACTTGGGAGGGGCAGAAAACAGGCCTCTAGCCAAGGCGAGAGAGAGAGAGAGCGAGAGGAGAGAGAGAGAGAGAGAGGGGGGAGAGAGAGAGAGGGGAGAGGGGGGGAGAGAGAGATAAAAAGAGGGCCAAGATTTGGAAATGAGCTCAAAAGTGTAAAGCCTCCCCCCTCGGGGGTTTCTTTGCAGGGCATGTGGATGTACACACACAAAATAAATGAGTGGAATCGGATCTAGGCCGGCAGGCTAGCAGAGACAATTGGGGAACTTGGGCTGGCTAGCAGAGATTTTTGAGGTAGGCGGGCAGGGGGAGATAGGCTAGCAGAGATTCTTGGAGAAATGGGGGCGAGCAGAGAACATTTAGGATCGATTAACTGACTGGTAAGGGAAGCTAGCAAAGATTATTAGGGAATCCGGATGGTTTATCTGGCTGACAAGCAGTCAACTAGCAGAGATTATTAGCGAATCCAAGGGCAGCTAGCAGAAACCCTGCAGGAATCGCTAGACTGGCTGGCAACTAGGTCAATTCCAGCAGGGCAGGCTAGCAGAGACCATTTAGGAGCCAAACGG